TACTTCCCTATTTTGGGCGGAAGTACATGCCTACAGAGATGCAGGAGATAATAATCCGTTTGGAGATCTGGCTAAATTTGCGTTGACCCTCCTTTCTTTACCGTGGTCAAATGCTGATGTTGAACGAACATTCAGTCAATTAAATTTAGTCAAGTCCAAAATTAGAAATAGATTGCAAAATATAATGGTTAATACAATTTTACATATAAGGTAATTACTATTTAATTTTTAAATATTTGGTGGATGCTATTTAATTTTTAAATATTTTAAATAAATTTGTAATTTTTAAACAGAAAATGTTAAATAATAGTAATTGTTTATAGATATGGTCTAAAAAGACATGATAAATGTTGTTATAACTATGAGATACCAATTTCGTACATAAAATTAATTGGGACTAGTACAGCATATAATGACAAGGATGATAACGTCATTGATGACACTGATTTTGAAGACGATGAATGGATCGATATTGAATGAGATATAGTGCGACCTCTTAGACCAGAATCAGACTATACATTGAAGATTGAAATTGAAAATTAAAAATTGAAATTTCACCAATGAGAACGAAAAAATTCTGACTCTTGTTCTGATTGGTCAAACCTCAATTTTTCATTCTTCAATGCGTAGTCTGATTCCGGCCTTACATGTTTTACATTAATTTTTAGTATAAAATACAGTTTAATATATATGTAAGAATAGATTAAATATTTACGTTTTTGTTAAATATATTAAACATTTACGTTTTAGTTCAATCGTTTAAAACTGGTTTCCACATGGAACCGTGGTTAGAGTCTACTATACAAAGCTGCGTAATCATTGCTACCTGTAGCGATAGCGAGTACTCATTTAACGTGACGATTATTGTAGCCTTTTTTCGCAAAATAAATTGTGATACTACGTAAATTTTAACCAACAAATTCATTTACATAATGAAATTTCTTTTACAATTATACTATTAAAAAATCAATAAATAATAGTAAATATACAGTGTCAATGGTACTTAATCTTTAATCGGAATCGACCAATTATGAAAGAGCTTTAGGGTTATATGAGTTCCTCTCTCCCTCCCCCCCTCTCTCTCTATTTATATATATATATATATATGTATGTATGTATCATTCTTTTCTAGCACTCATCTTATATAAATGCGTGCGTAAAAGTGATTATAAACATATATAAATATCTGACGGTTTTTGGCGGTTTTTCAAGTAGAATCTAGCAGATAATGTTTTTCAATAGTTGGCATCACTGAGCAGGACCGCTAGATCGGTCGGACGCACGGAACGGCGCGGGTCTGAATTTTCTTTGTTTCGACACCGAGTGTTAACCACGCGTTATAAGGGTGGCACCCAGTTGGACACGGCTCAATTGGACACGAGCCACTCACAGCGCTTGAGACTACAAAGCTCCTAGGCACCAGTCGTTGTGGTGTCCAATCGAGCCGTGATCAATCGGGATCACCTCACGTTATAATACGTGACTACGGATCGGAATAATTATTTTATTAACCGTCAAATGCGGAAATATCGCGAAATACGCAAATTAAGTAAATTTTCCCGGTTTTACGTAAAGTGTTCGCGCAAAGTCGATAAGACGCGTCGTAACTAAATCCGGAAGTATATTCCACGCTTTTAATTGATATCGCGAAATGCGATAGCGTGCGAGTGAATTAATTAGCCGAAGATAACGCGAATAATTAAGTGCGTAGTAGGCTGACGCAATATCTCGTCATAGTATTAGGCAGCCATTTTGTGTAGCAGCCATTTTGTATCGCAAGAGCGACACGACGCGACATATCGCGTGATATTAAGTTGAAAAGAGAGCGAAATAGAGTAGAGATCGAATGAATGCGCGAGTGAATGTGAGAGTGAGAGGAAAAGGCCAATATTTAAATAAGTTAATACTAGGGTGTAACGGCCTATTATGGTTGGAGCTGGATCTTCGTTGCTTTTAAATAATTCAATCTTGAATTACTAATATATACTACAGGGTGGGCCATCTATTGGTACGTTTTTACAGGGTGGGCCATCTATTGGTACGTTTTTAAAAATGCGATCAAATGAGCATACATTGATATTTTTTATTAATTTTTTTTTTGTTGTGAAGCTAAAAGTATCCGCGTCAAGAATGAAAAACGATTTCGTTCATGTGGCTCCCTCTAAAAAAAATTAATAAAAAATATCAATGTATGCTCATTTGATCGCATTTTTAAAAACGTACCAATAGATGGCCCACCCTGTATATATGTACTTGCATATATACCATATTGTAGTCTTTTTCAAACTACGCGCCGAATTTTTTCCGGACTAAATAAACGCAATTAAAACTACTCTAGTAATCGCGAATTAAATTGACAAACAATTTAATAATTTGATGCTACCATCAAGCATCATATATTATAAAGATGTTAATCTATAAAAACTATTAATAAATTTATTTTTTATTTATAGTCTTTGAAAAAGACTACAATATGGTATATATGCAAGTACATATATAGTATATATTAGTAATTCAAGATTGAATTATTTAAAAGCAACGAAGATCCAGCTCCAACCGTAATAGGCCGTTACACCCTAGTATTAATTGAGTTTCTCAAATATACGGTCATAAATATATTATTTAAATAAGTGTTATCCAAGTGAATAAATAATTAAGTTGTGTTACCTAAAGTGCCTCTGTGTGTTTTATTTCACGAAAACACCTCTCCATAATTAATTGCGACATCACTCAGCGAGCAACGACACCGTGAATCAGACGGAAGGATCTCACTAAGCGGGACGAAAGAAGGACAGGAAGGACGAAACCGACCGAGAGAGCTGTTCCACTCCTGCAGAGCCCAGCAGTTTTTTTTGTTTACGCTGGGGAAATGCATTACGCATACCCGGGCCTTCGGGGGAAGTAACCCGGGTTATGTGGGACTCTCCCCGCCCAGAACTAACCGGGAGGGGCCTACCCACTAAAACCCCAGCGAGTGTCCTGTCCGAGGCGCTTTGTCAGGCTGGTCTGGGCTCTTCGCATCTGCAGTACTACCGGACCAGCCCGACGCCGTGGCGCAATGGCGCCCCGTCCCGAATTTAACGTACGGCGGAGGGGGACACCACCTCCCTCCGCCGCCAGGCCCGTCGCACCGTTGATAAGAGGCGCAGAGCCCCCGCTCTGCGCCTCACGGTGCGTGAGCACAGATGTCCGGGTGTGAGAACCGGACAGCGGTCGGATGACACTTATTGTCACCCGATCCATACATCGATGATGTGCCTCATCTACTCCCGAGCCTGGCTAGCAGGCCTGGGCACCTTGTTCTTGGCCCGTTGCGGGAGGGGAGCCCCTGCGGGGAAGTACAGTCCCGCCGTCCCTCCCGCTCGGCCGTCGTCCCTTGGGATAGGAACATGAGTAGCTACCTCCACCTCCATGCGGGTGTCTTCCCCCGTTGCTGGAGGCGACCCCCCGCGAGCCTCAGTCTAGGCTCCCTCCTGCTGTCCTCCCCTCGGCCTCGCAGCCGTCACCGGGGTTCCTCCTTTTCTCCTCCCACGGGAGGAGGGGGGGCGACACGCCTTCCCCCCATCCGGTGGGTCGTCGGCAGACCCGCGTCGCAAGACTTCGCGACGTGCCCCTCCGTCCCACACCGGTAGCAGAGCCTGTTACGATCTGTCGCTCCCGAGCACTCCGCCCCCACGTGCCCCATCTCGAGACAGCGGAAGCACTGGAGCGCCCGGGGGGGAAGGAGTTCCGTCCTCACCGTCGTCCATCCAATGGTGGTCATCCCTTCCTTGGTGAGGCGGATTGCCGCATTGAGCGGGCACCTCACCCAGATCGTGCCCAATCCTTTGGGCGGTCTCCTTATTTGCCCCGTCCTGATATCGCCCAGGCTGCATCCTCCAACCGTGGTTGATCAGTTCCCACATGGGTGATCAGTTCGGTCAAAGTGACCGAATCCTCCAGGTCCTTTATTTTCATCTCCGCCATCTTCATGGGCCTGAAGATGAGGACATCCTTCTTGTCGACCAGTTCTCGTTGTAACCTGGCCGCTAGGGCATCTGCTATAGCAGTGCCTTCCACCTCGCCCGGGATTTCCAGCATGAAAGCCCCTGTATGGGCTCTTCTGGGCCGGACGTGGGTGATACCCATTTCCTCCGGGTTTATCTTCTCCTTAGCGACCCGCATGATCTCCGCGTAGGTCACTTCCCCCCTACTGGAGATCTGGATCGCCGCTGTACGCGGCGGATTCTGAGATCTTCTCTCCGGGGGGGGGGATGCCTTCTTTTTTGTATTCCCAGTATGGAGTCTGTCCCGCGCGTGGGGGGAAGGATTACCCTTCTGCCTACGCCGCACTTTCCTCCCCAGAACCTCAGACCATCGCTCTCCTAGGGGAGTCGGGAGGGCCATCGGCTGTTTCGGAGGATGTACCAACTCCTCCTTCCGTGCCGTCTCTGAGGCCAGGACTATAGCAGGGCCTCCTCCTCGTATTCGCTCCCCGTCCTTCTTTTGAGTAGCAACTCCCCGCTTCTCGCCAACCATTCGAGTGCTTGCTTCCCTTTCTTTGGCCAGTTCCGCAGCGACGGTCTCTGCGATTAGCTCCCGCAATACATCGGGAGGCCGCACGTCGAGCTTTCCTTCCGGACCTCCTTTGATTCCGGGTTGTTGCTTCCACGTATTGCAACTCCGATGGCCGATCCTCCAGTACTAATCTCTTGCCCTGAAGCGCGGGCCTAAGCGCCAGTGGCAAGGTTTCACCAGATGGGCCTGGATGCTCCTCAGAGCTGGCCTCATTGTGGACCTCAACGTCCATGTGCTCTTCTGCAGGCCTGTTTGCCATCCTGCGGGGCCTCCCGGTACCTAGGGAGGGCCCTCCCGCAGCCTTCGCGGCCCGAACGGCTTCGATCTCCCGGAGGTATTCCTCAGCTCTGGCCTCCGCGTTAGAGGCCCTTTTCTCCGCAGCGATCGCTCTCTTATTCTCCGCCTCCAGCTGCGTCTCGAGCCTCGTCCGCAGCTCCGCCAGCTCACGCCTGAGGGACCGGATCTCCATATATGCCGTGCCTTCCTGGGATCTTTCGGCTCTTTCCTTCAGTATCTTCGCGCATCCCAGCGTCCACATTGGAGGTCGCCGCCACTTTAAGGGCACATTGGAACGTGCCCTTGAGGTTACCGGAGGCCTTGACCACCCAGATAACCTCCATCTGGCCTTTGTAAATTCTCTCGGAGAGCTCCTCATCGGGCCTCTCCGAGAGATCCTCCTTCCATTTTTCCAAGTCGATCTTGGCACTAGAAAGGAGCTTGTCTCCGTCCAGCTCCCTATATAGTCTGTCTCTAGCCAGCGTTAGGCTTTTCTCGTCCTCCTCGTTCGACCGGCGTAGGGCTTCCGATCTTGCCACGTACTCACCGGTGGTCGGTGGCCTTCCTCTCTTTCTCCTGTTCGACGGGGGAGCCACCGGTCCCCCTGATACCACCCGCGCGTCCTCATCCGAGGACACCGCCACGGAGGCCGGGACCGAGCCGGCAGCCGAGTGCGGAGCCGAGCCCCCCGCAGGCCTCTGTTCCAGCGAACGGATGCGACCGGAGACCCCAGCCGATCCCCTAGACGCCGTGGACAGGTCGTCACTATCCATTCCCGTGACGGACCCATCACTGGGCAAGTCTGCCTCCCTGGCCTTTTTCTTGGACCCTTCCTCTGGCGATGTGGAAGTCGCCTGCTGTCGTTGCAGCTTCTTCGTCCTCTTTCTCGAGGACGAGGGTCGGGACAGAGGCCTAGCATCCGCCTTGGAGCATTTGGGGCCCGGCCTGCTCCGAGGCCGGTCCCCAGTATCACTCGGCCCGCTGGGCTCCGTCGATGACGTTCCCGCGCTGGAGCCTTTCGTCCTACCCCTGATTCGCAGCGTATCCGGCTGCTTGGCGTCTCCTTCCGAGGACGCCTCTGATACCTGGGTATATCTTGTTGGATATAATATTTTACTTGCCGTCCCGATATCGACGCCGTTGGCCATTGATTGTCCGGCGAACTGGCGAATCACCCACCTGTGGAAGGATCGCATCTCTTCGACCGTACTCGTTATTTTCTCCTCCTCCTTATAATAGTAATAATACGGATCATAAGGGCTGGAGAACCTCTCCTTGTACTCCTTGTGTACAACGCGTCTTTCACATCTCCTCCTCATTTTTTCCTCCAGAGCTATCGCACGGGCAAGACCGGCCATAGTAGTGCAATCGCAGTTATCCGTATCCGTATCTTCACTCGTATCTCCGGGTACGGATGTAACCGGATTTCTATTTCTAATTTAAATAATCCCGTGTTTTCGAGTCATTCATTAATTATTTTATAATACAGATCACCTATGGTGTCTTACCTTTCGGTCGCCACTCTGTTTTCCCAACTAACAGAGAAGGATTGTCGTCCTGGATATTCCCAGTAAATGGCCTCTTCGGATAGGACGACCTCTAATTGGATGCCTTCCCTCAGTCCTTTGTCCTGATTGGCCCTTCGGTCGAGATGTCTCAGCAGCACGGGCGTTGTCCCGTCGATATGCGTTGATGAATTTATTTAATTCGTGGAATGGATATACTCGTGAATAACAACACGCGAGGCACTTTGGTGTAACAAACTATAAATGCTTTATTCAAACACAACACCAATAATTAATATAACAGGCCCTCATTCACACTTATCACACACACGCACTAATTTCTTATAATTCGACTATCTCGCCTTTACACTTGTTCTCTCTTTCTATCTCGCGTTGTCGCGTCGCGTCGCACTTACGACGAATGGCGGTTATCAAAGATGGCCGCTCACAAAGGTGGCGTGATGTTGCATCATCCACTACGCACAACGTGTTTCGAGACTAAAACCTCGCTAAATTCGCGTTTACCGTACGCGTTACGTTAACGGGAAACGTGCCGTGCACGTTTAGAACTGATTTACGACGTATTTTCGCCGTTTTCAGCACTTTAGCGGTAATCACGGAATTTTCACCGTATTTCGCGTTATTTCGCGCTTCGCGATGTTTAATTAGAGTCGGGGCACGATACGGTATATCTAGATACCGGGTTTGTACCGATTTTCACCCGATTACGCAATACTTCGAGCCGCGTGGTTCAAGACGTCCGTCCCGCTCGGTGGTCTATTCACGACTGATTTCAAAGATGGCTGGCTTCACTGCCAAGATGTCGAGAAGAAGGAGTCTGTACTGTTTCCCGCGGTCGGTTCGGTGTTCCCGAATCTGGTCTTTCTTTAGTAACAACATTCATACGGCCTTTTAATGTTTATAATACGTTAAATAATTCGGAGGTAACCTCCTTTACACAAATTAATTGTGGACTTTCCGCTTTTATACATTTTTACGCGGATAATTAAATTTTGTCTTTGGACAAATTCAGCAAGTCTTCTATGATTGGTCAATACTGCTTGGACCTCTAAATATTAATGAAAACAATTCGAAATAATACAAAATGACTCTAAATAATTTACCTTTAACATATTAATGGTCCCTGTTGCTGAATTAATTCAATTACAATATCCAATTGATAAAATGTTGATATGCGAGTACCTATATATATATATATGCTACGTCAGAAATGATTCGTATGTGATAGAATAATTATAAATAACTTAGAAATGGCTCGTTATGCCCTAGATAATTCAGAAATAATTCCTGGAAGTGATTTTAATGCTTTTAATAACAAAATATCTCGCATATGAAAATTTTAGTCCCTTATGATACTTTAGCGTAACTTACCGCTATATAACTTATTTGGAACGAACTGCCTTTTTTACCTTTGATGATAATTAATTTTGAATCTCTGTAGAGTAGGTATGGAAATAATTGCTTGATTGCTCTTTTGACTAAGTTTAATAATTTTGATATGTCTGTCTCTGTCTTACTAATGCGAAATAATTACCGTGTCTTCTTTTAACTTGTGTACTTTGTCCCAAATATTTTACATGCTTGAAATGAACTGATATAATGCAAAATAATTAGGGTTACATGCCCTTGTAATGAAATAAATGTTTTCCACTAAATAATATAAATCTTTTGCTAATTAATAGCTTTTTACCTTCTAGGTCTTCGTTATACTTATGCTTTATGTTTCAGGGTCACCCATCATTCTCAGCAATTCTTATTGTGGTAAGTATATTCTTTTTTATGTGTGCATTAATTCATGTTACTCTAGCATATGTTATTTTAATTGTTTATTTTCTTTTTTAGGTTACTCTGCTGGAATGACTATGGATCGCCTTTGGTAGGATATTTAGGTAGGTTGAGGTATTGTCTTTTTCCCTCACATTAATCTTTTAACTCTTTTTCTTTTTCTTTTTATCAACTTCTTAACTTAAATAATTTTATTAATGATATACTTATAGTTTTTCTTATAACATACAAAATAATTATTACTTTCTCTTTTGAGCTTTTGAAACTTTAAATAAATCCTTTTATCTTACAGCCTTCTATCGGATGAGACCTTTTACAAAATATAAAATCATAATAAACTTTTAATAAAATATAATGTGATAAAAAATATGTTAATAATTAAATCATGGGGTTGTTCTCATCGGCTGGATATTCTCCGTGTCGAGTCCCGCTGTCGGTTGTTGTTCCATTCCCGCTGGAAATTGTTTCCGCTCTGCTGGCGTTGTCCTGGGCGTAATTTTCTGTAAATGTTGCGGGTTTCTCTAATTAATGGCGTAAAGCAGGAAAAATGCACACGGTTGCACGGATACCCTCTCCGCTCAGGGATGAGTTCCAGGCCCACCGAGGAGTCACCTGCGAATTCCTCATCGAGGAAGGTGGACTCATAATACTCCTCCATGTCTGGGTTTCGATAACCCCCGCTTCAGAGGATTTCCTCCACTTCCTCTGCTCTCCCTGGGGAGCAGCGCCTTTTCCAGGCTCCTTCCTCTTCGCCTTCGCAGGCACCATTTCCGCCGGCGCACCTGCGCCTACCTTTCCATAGACAGAGCTATCGCTCGTCTTTCTTCCCTTGCGGAAGAAGCCCTTAGCTCCCTCTTTCCTCCCATTCGTCTTGTTTGTAGTAACACTCATTCCTTTACCCCCAACCCCGCAGCGGCTA